TAGCCATGTGCATACTTGTATCTGCAGGGCCTGGTGGAGGGGACATTATTATTACTGAGGTCCCAGGGACCTAAAAGTCTCAACACCGAGGCTGTGCTGTGTCCCCCAGTTCTGCTCTGGGGGGGGGGGGCAGACCTCTCTCCAGGCACAGCTCTCATTTGTTGTTAGTGCCTGCTTCCTCAACTTTCTCCAACTCTCTGGCAAAGAAAGCACGGTGCCTAGGTGAACTCTGAGTCTGACATCACTGGTCTTCCATGCTCAGCCTGATTCTGAAGGTGGGCATGGTTTGGTTTGGAGGCAGATGACTTGGGTCTGTGGTGAAAATGAACAGCTTGGATAACCGTTGAACTTCACCTGACCTTGTCCTCGGTGGCTGGTGGCTGCCTCTTTGTCACGCTCTTCTGGGTACTTGACTGGGACTCTCTCATTTTTGGGCTAACTCTCACATGGGGACTTACATTACAGTTGTGTGCACCACTATCCTCTCAATCCATTCTGTCTAACTTACCATTTTATTTCAAATCAATGCCCTTGTCACTAAGCATCTACTATGTGCAAACCCTTAGATGAGTTCCTAGAAAATCAGGAGCCATTAGTTTAACAGGCGACAGATGCCTTATATGCAAGGTCATGGGTGAGCTATTCATTCACTCGGCGTCTCTTCATTTAGGCCACAGTGATTTATTGGCTGCCAGTTGCAAGCAGGGCAGCTGACCAGATATTCAGCATGCAGAAGGTACTTTGTAATGACGTAGTGAACTGAGTCCCAGGAGTTCTGGAGCTCAAATGGCCAGAGGAGGAAAGTGTGAGTGTACAGGTGGGAAGACAGATGTCTTCCTCCAGGGTCTGAAAGTGTTGTGTCAGCCCATGGCCTTGGGCAGGGTCTTGGAGCTGAAAGTGCTATGTCAACCCCTGGCCTTGGGCAGGTAATGCCCAGAAAGACAAGCACCTTCCAGGCTTCAGTTTCCCATTCGCCGGGGTTAGGGTGGAGTATTTTATGTATATTAGTTATATTTGTTAGTTATATTTGATGGTGTTGGGATGGATTACAAGGCTACCTATATGTTTGGCAAGTGCCACTGAGTTACAGCCTATCCCACCATTGTAATTTCTTTTAGTTTTTTTTTAAGTTAATTAATTAGAGACAGCTTTTTTTCCCTGGCACTAGCTCTTTAGACCACGCTGGCCTCAAACTCAGAGATCTGCCTGCCTCTGCCTCCAGAGTGCTGGATTAAAGGTGTTCGCCACCAATGCAGGTCTCAATGGGAATCTCTTAAGGGCATTGGGTATGTCACACATTTTGCTTAGATTGGTGTGATGTAGTCTTGGGGAAGTTTGTGAAGACTGAACACGGTCAAGGACTTTGGAAAACATGCACCTCTGAGGGCTGCAGGGTGGGGGTGGGGCAGAGGGGCTTGCTGGCCTACACAGTCCTGCCTTCCACCTGGAGTCCTCTGTTGGACTTGACTTTAGTTGGAATAAATGGCTTCCTGGCTTCTCCCTGTGCAGCCTGTTTCTGCGCCAGGGTTTGTTTGAGACTGTTTGGATATTGTTAAAAGTGGGCAGCTTGGCTCAGAAAGGTCAGCAGGAGAGATCAGAACAAAGAGATCTTTCAAGCTGGTTTCTCACTGGGCAACCAGAAATGGCAGGGGAAAACCCCAACTCCACCTGGCGCAGGCAGCTGCAGGTTGTGCTAGGATTGCTCAGGTTGTGGCCATCTGAGCCATTTGAGAACCCGCATCTAGGTATTTATTTCTTAGAGAGGGCCAAGTTGAGGCAGGGGCCTTCTCAGCACACAAGGCAGAGCCAAGCAACCTAGGCTAGGATCCCAACTCTCCCTGTGTGGCCATGGCCACTGGGAACCTCTTATGTGGATTGTTTCTTTAAAGACAGTCAATAAAAATTGGGATTGACTCAAAACATGCCTGAGGGTGATGATTTACTCTACAGAAGAATTCCCAGGAGCCTATTCAGATGCCCAGATCCCTAATAGATCTGAGAATTACTTAAAAACAAGCAAACAAACAACGTGAGAATACTGATCGTATTTGAGCGCAGTACTAGTTCCTTTTACATGCACTGGAGTGGTCAGTGCCTGGACATCAGCGTCCCCTCCCCAGCATCCAGGAGCAGCCTCTCTGCTGCTCCAGGGACATGAAGGCTTATTGGCAGCGACAAAGAGGACAGTCCCTCCTGTGGCAGAGGAAGAAGAGGCATTAGGCATTCTTGGCTCCAGTCTCCTGGTCACAGTCTGAGCCAGGCTGCCTGGGAAGAGGCTGGCAGGTCGCCCAGAGAGTGGAAAATCACCCATGGCCCCAGGAGTGGCCTGCCTCCTCTGGGCCACAGGGCCCTAGACAGCCCTGGGGACCAGCCTGCCTCAGCCTGGGGGCCCAGCTGTCTTTATCCTCCCTTTTTTTGGTGGGGAATCTGTTCTTCCTGCAGGGGGCTGGTAGGAGGTGACTGTGAGACAGGATCCTGTCCTTCAAGTGCCTCTGTCTTCTACTAGTGATGATTATTATACTTGAGCATCTATGTAAAGTGTAATGAAAGTGACAATGTCAGTGACACACCTTGAGAATCCCAGTTAGGAGAAAGGAGAATAATCGTAGTGACCCCTCTACTGCATGGGTTGGTATACTTGAGCCTGTTACCACTTCCCCAAACGCTCTGTGGAGAAATGAGGACTCCTCCTATAGCCAGGGAGAGAGACATCCAGGGGCCACCTCGTATTCTCAGGAGTGAGTGTGGCATTTCCATGTCCAATTGCCCCTTCTGAAACCTGGCTTCTCTGATTAGGAGAACACTGGGACCAATAGAGCCGGTGGGTCTCAAACTTGACTGTCCCCTGGTTTGATCAAGGCCAGATTCCCACCTGAGTCTTCCATTACAGATTGGAATGGGGCCTCAGAACTACATTTCACAGGTGTATATGTATGTATGTATGCATGTATGTATGTATGTATGTATGTATGTATGTATATGTAATATTTTTGCTAATTTGAGAATTTCATATATGTATACAATGTATTTTAATCTCATTCACCTCCTCCTCCCCTTAACTCCTCCTAGGTCTACCCTCCTCCCTAACCTGCTCCCCACTTCATGTCCTTTTATTTCTTTATAATCCACCAAGTCCAATTTATATTGATTTATACTCCTGGGTGTAATCAAACCAGGAGCAGTGCCCTTAAAGAAAACTGAGCTTCCCTTCTCTGGAAATCATCAGCTGTCAATAACTCCTCAGTCAGGGGTGGGGGCTCATGGACCCCTCCTCCCCCATCCATCCCCATCCATCCCCCATCTGTGATAGAATGCTGACTGGCTCCATCTTCTGACAACAACCGCAGCCTCTGTGGTATCATGAGTGCACAAGTCCTGTCAACTAGAAAATACTGCTTCGGTCTGGTCCTCCCTGACCTCTGGCTCCTACAGTCTCTCTGCTCCTCTTTGGCAGTGGTTCCTGAGTTTTCTTGTGGGGTAGGGTAGGGTGGAATGGCATAGGACTTGCCTTCCTTCCTTCCTTCCTGTCTTCCTTTCTTCTTGTCTTCCTTCCTTCCTTTCTACTTTCCTTCCTTCCTTCCTTTTAAAAATTTCTTTAGATTCATTAATCTTTATGTGTATGAGTGTTTTGCCTGCATGCACGTATACTCTATTATCCTTTGGAGGTCAGAAGAGGGGGCCTGATACCCTGGAACTGGAGGTCAGAAGAAGGGGCCTGATACCCTGGAACTGGAGGTCAGAAGAGGGGGCCTGATACCCTGGAACTGGAGTTATGGATGGCTGTGAGCCACCGTGGGTGCTGGGAACGGAACCTGGGTCCTCTGCAAGAACAAGTGTTTGTAACCATTGAGCCGTCTCTCTAGACCTTGAACTTTCATTGCTAACAAGTTCTTGGGATGCTGAAGCTCCTGGGATATTGAAAAACTATTCTGAATCCTCATTTCCTAGTGTGGAGGCCGAGGCCTTTAGCGATAAGCACAGTGAAATTAAGTAGTACACACACTAGCTTGTAAAAATTACTTCTGTGCTTTAAAATACTTATGTGCTTAATATATTTTGCAAAACAAAAAACAAAAAACAAAACCCACAAGGACTGGAGAGATAGCTTAGTGGTTAAGAGAGCACTGGCTGCTCTTCCAGAGGACTTGAGTTCAATTCCCAGCTACCACATGGTGGCTCCCAACTATCTGTAATGAGATTCTAGCGCCCTCTTCTGGCCTGCAGGCATACATGCAGGCTGAACACTATACATAATAAATAAATAAAAATCTTTTTAAAAATTCACAAAAACCAACCAGCACAACAAACCCGTGATTTCAAATATTTTTAATTAAAGTGAGATATCTGCTAAGTAAAAAGATATTATCAAAAGTATTACATAAATAAGTATAATGGTGATGGACTTGTAGTAAAATTTGAGAATGTAGCATGTCGACAAAGAGTCTGGAGACACTGAGCTGAGCATAAGCCCATGTCTTGCAGATGAGACCGCAGGCCACAGAGATAAACTTGCTTCCCTGACCCAGGACAGAGAGGGATCAGGAGGCTGAGGATCCCCCACCTGCTCTATGCCCACTTCTTCTGCAAACTGGGCAGGTCAGGGAAAGTCCCCACTGACATCTGTCTACATTCTCAGGCTTACAAACAAAGGCCTGCATTTATAACCCTGGGAGCTTGTAGCTTACCGAGCTTCCCTGGAGGCAAAGGACTTGAGCCACACAGTCTTGTCCTATTGTAGTTCCGAGGCTACAAAACCCCTGCAGGGTGCGGGATGGGGGAGACTGAGAAGTTTGGGGACAGCAGTGGGTTTCCTAGTGACCAGTTGCACCTTGTCAGTCCTAGGCCTCCAGGGTCCTGGAGTTACCGCTCTGGCTTTCATTTCACTGATTGAAGGTGTTCACAGAAAACCCAAAAGGACGGTCCATGTGGTAGGTGCTGGTTGAGAAGGGCATCTATGGAGCTCAGTTAGCAATGATCCCACTTTTGCTGGCCTCTTCCAGGAACATTGTGAAAGGCATGAGGGAACTCCGGGACATTCTAAGGACTGTGGAGACCAAAGCAACGCAGAACTTCAAAGTGGTAATGTGGCTCCTCCCCCAACTGAGCTCTCCAAAACCCAGCCACAGCCAGTTTGGGGGAGAGACAACACAAGCTCTAGCAAGAGGCCCCTGACCTAGAGATGTCACATGCATGCCTATGCTCACCCTCCTCTGCTCTCAGCAGACATTATTAATTGATCCCAGAATGCTTCCCCACCAAGCACCCTGTTCATCTCATCATCTTCACCAGGGCACTGAGGATGGCTCCTAGCAGTCTACCGCCAACCCTTACATGAGCAAAACTATCCTAATGATGTGTGGCATTGCTCGTTTTGTCATGATCCTAATAAATGTCATGGACTCTCCTTTCATTTCCCAACTCGGGTCTGTGTTCTTAGAACTTTGTTCTTCCAAAATCAGAGCCACAGCTGTGTCTTTCACGAGAATTTTGGGTTGACTGTCAGTCTCTAGAAGGCATCTGGTAGGGAGGGGGCCTCCCTGCCTTCTCCCACCTGGAAGGAACTGCAGTGTGCTCATTTGTAGAGCCAGGAGAGCAGAACAGAAATGGGGTGAGCTATGCCAGGCCATCCATGGGGGAGGTGGTAAGCTTCGATGCCAGAGGGAGTGAGGGACTTGGGAATGGAGTTGTGGGGGCCTCTAGAGGCGCAGCACAGCAAACAGCAGGCAGATCTGCTGGTTAGGAACCACATGGGCAAGCTGAAGAAGTTTGACCCCAGCCTGAGTCTCTCCCTCTCTGTCAGATGGCTGCCAAGCACCTGGCAGGGGTCCTGCTGCACTCTCTGAGTGAGGATTGCTACTGGAGCCCCTTGTCCCACCCCCTGCCTGAGTTCATGAGCAAGGAGGAGAGTTCCTTTGTCACCCAGACCCTTCGGAAACCACACCTCTACGAAGGAGACAAGTGAGTGCCTTCTGCCCTGATGCACCTGCTGGTGGCTCTCCACTGTACCCTGTTTGCCCAGGCTCCACCCTGTCCAGTGCCAGGCTGACATTGTAGAGACTAAGGAAGATGGTCTCTGGTGGGGTTGTGGGAGAATTCTTCGTGGCTCCCGGAAAACCATACATTTGGAGGTTGCCTGTCTTCCCAACACACCCCATTGATGTGCCCGTTGAAGGTGGTGGAGTCTATAGTCACCATCAGAGGCCTCCCCATGCCTCACCTCAGGCTGGGGGTGGGTGGCCATTTCTTCTGCAGGGTGGCAGCAGCCTTTCAGAACTCTGGGGCTAGTTTAGAGCTGCACATGGTATTCAGTACCTGTGAATTATTCAGGAGAAGGGTCACCTTACCAGGCTGATGTTGACTCTGGTCACAAGCACTGCTGGGAGTGGGGCCCAGAGGTGCTGTTGGTGTGGGCTGGGCTGCAGCCAGGAATGCTGTTGTGTTTTCCAGCCTCTACTGCCCAAAAGACAACATAGAGGAGGCGCTCCTGCTGCTGCTCATCAGTGAGTCCATGGTAAGCCCCAGGCACTACTGACCCCAGGGGACTGGGGCTGTGGAGAGTGTTGGGATCAATGCAGGCTGTTCATGGCCTAGTCAAGCTCTGCCTACCAGAGATGCCCTAACGGTGCAAGCTGCTTAGCCCTGCCCTTCCCTCCCTCCTCCCTCCTCCCCTTCCCTGCCCCCGACACACTGCAAGTCTGGCTCATCAGTCTGTGTTTGGCCACAGTAGCTGTGCTGGGTTATGAGAAACCCTATGTTTGTCCCAGGTGGGTAGGGACTGAGTGCATATGAAATTATCTTCTGGGATCACAAAAATTGATTATCACAAATCAGCAGAGTGCATTGACCAGCTAGATGCTGTGACGGCTGTAAGAGGACAGTCAAGGACCTGAAGGAGTGTGCATTTGGAGGCACACGACCTGGATTGTGACTCCGACACTATGCTCATTAGCCAAGGGCCAGGGACTAAGAATTCACTGTTTCTGAGCCTTGGTTTCCTCTTTCTAAGATGATGGTAACTGAGAAGTAAGTTTGGGTAGAATTCATGTTCTTGCAACAGCTATTGACCTTCTGTCCTGTGTCTGGACCTGTCTAGAAGCCAGACATGTGGCCCCTGACATCATAGAGTTCACATTTTGTTCAGGGGTGGTGGTTATAAAGTAGTGAATGATTCCAGTATCCAGGCTATCTGGGTTTACATTACTATGGAAAAATAAGGCCGTGGGGACCCATCTCCCACACCCTGGGGAGATACATATGTGAACGCGTGCATGCATACATGCCCATGGTGACCGCAGTACTGGGAAGTGTGTCTTTAGAGTGCTCTGGAGTTGTTCCTGGAAGGAGAGCATGGTGTGGTTGGGTAGCCATGGAGGTGTGAGATGTACCAGGGGAAACTCATGAAGGAGGAACATGGATTATAGAAGCCAGGAATATAAGGAGGCATGTCCGCATAGCTGGGTCCAAGTCCATCAGTGCTGCTGAGCTGGGAACTGCAGCTGAGAAACAGTTCTCTTAGATGATGGATCTGAGAAGTAAGGTTAAGAAAGGCAGATGCCCTGAGTTGGACCATTTAGTGATCATAAGTGTTTCTTTGGCTGTCTTTGTGGATAATGCCAGGGCTTGTCTGGGACACTTGGGTGAGTTACCTGTGGCTGCACGTGTCTCCTGGTAAGTAGATATGAGGATGGAGATGGGACTGCAAGGCAGGGAGACTGCCCTTCCTCAGCCACGCAGACCATTCTAGAACTGAACTAGCACTGAACGTTGCTTTGTGAAGGGCGTTTGGAACCGGGGTGCCAGCTGACTAGGCATTGTCATAAAAGCCATTCTTGGTGTATACTTGTGCAGTGGGTAAGTGTTACTTCATAGGGGAGGGGGACACACACATGGAGCTGCTTAACCAGATTTGCAGAAGGAAGAATCAGGTGGATTTGCTCTTTGGGGAACTGGAAATGGCTCCTTTCTCTGACCACGGGCTAAATCTCAGTTTTAAATTTTAGGGTCTTGATGTAGAACTCTTGGAGCCCCCTCCTCCTGGCCATTGCATCACCTATACCCTCCTGTGAGACTACACTGAGATCACCTGTCTCTGGGGATGTGGGCAAATTTCACCCGTGCATGCCAAAGGGTACAGTTTAACTTGTATGTAGACAATAAAAGGTCAAAACAAGACCTTTCTCTGCTGGGGCCAAGATTGTCTACCTCACTAGGTAAACATTATGTTGAATTATATGAAATGACCTATTTTCAGTTACTCATGGCTTACAAAAACAAGTGTCAGGGTTGGGATGTCCCTCTGTTGGTAGAGTACTTGTCTAGTATATACAAAGCCCTGGGGTTGTTCCCCAACATGACATGAAACCTGGCTTTTGTCTATAATCTCAGCCCCCAGAAGGTGGGTTCAAGAGGGGCAGGAGGATCAGAAGTTCAAGGTCAATCTCAGATTTTAAAACAAAAGAGGGTTCAGGACCAATGTGGGCTACCTGAGAATCTGAGAACCTGGCTCCAAAAGAAGGAGAAGAAAGGGGCATTGATAGTTTCACTCAGGTCAGATAGTACTAGTGTGTCCCCATTTTACAGATGAGAAACTGAGGGAAGGGGCACAGGATGGACATGTGTCTTGGTCAGGTTCACATGATAATAAGCCTTGTTTAGGTCACATAATCTTGTTTTCGTGCTATGAAAACAAGTTTCCACAAGCACAAGGCCCAGGCCCCATGCTCCTGGATTTCAGTCATTGTTCTGCCTCATTACCTGCTCTGATCCTTGTTTCTCTCATCTATAAATGAGCCAGTGAGGTAGTTTTGAAAATAGAATGCATAAGGTCTTGAGAGAGTCTCTTGGCGGGGTTGGGCCAGAGTCACTGCTGTCTGTGTCCTCATAAGAGAGTGAGGCGGTTGGTTTGTCCAGCCTGACACAATCCAGAGTCACCTGGGAGGGAACTCTCAAAGTCTAGATCAGAGTGGCCTGTAGGAGTGTTGGTGAGGTTATCTTGATTGTATGTTAGAGAAGGTGGGATGACCTGCTTATTGTAGGTGGCATCATTTCCTGGCCAGAGGATTTAGGACTGAAAGACTGGAGCAGATGAACTGAGCACTGACTGACACACATGTATTCCTTAGTCTGTTCCTGACTGTGTCAGCTCCTGGGGCTCTAAATTCCCTGTGATGAACTGTAACCTGGAATTGTAAGCTAAAATAAGCCCCCACCCCCATGTTTGTGTATCTGTGTGTATATCTCTGTGTATCTGTGTGTGTATGTCTCTCTGTGTATGTATGTCTGTGTGTGTGTGTGTGTGTTTGTGTGTCTGTGTTTTCAAGACAAGGTCTAACTATTATAGCCCTGGCTGCCCTGGAACTCATTCTGTAGACCAGGCTGGCCTCAAACTCAGAGACAGCCTGCCTCTGTCTCTGCCTCTCCAGTACTGGGATTAAAGGTGTACACCAGTACAAACCACTAGCTCTTTATCTCTTTAGTGCTCTTGTCACACACACACACACACACACACACACCAGTGGCTTCTGGATCAGAGCTCAGGTGACTCGTTCTCCTTTAAGGTTATTGACATCACTGGCCCAGATACCTTAAGCTGCCCTAAGTCTCAAAGCAGAGAGTGGCCCGCTACTAGACTGTGGCCCATGCCCAGAGCCTGTGAATTTCCCTGAATATAGACCTCTCTCCAAGCAGCCCTTTCCCTTTTGTCTCGAGCTTAACCTGCTTACCTGTCCAGGAGACACAGGGCTCCACATGGCTAGCCAAGAACAGCCCTGGGAAATGCCTCAGCATGCTGGGTAAAGAGACAGCATGGTTTGACTTGCATGGTTGCTAGAAGGAGATACCTCCTTGGATTGGATTGGCTGGTTTGTTTCCTCTTGCCCACAGCAACCCCACCAGACATTTGGAAATGGATTTGACAATGGGAGAGTTGACAATCAACAAGTTATCACATCTACTGAAACCCTTCTCCCTTCCCTACAAATCTGGCCTCTCCCTGTGGCTCAGAGCAGTTTCTCAGAGAGTTCGAAGCTGCCTTTCTTTTATGTCCTCCTTCTCTCCAGTTACACTCTTTTCATTTTGTTTTGTTTTGAGACAGGATCTCACTATTTTGCTTTGGCTGGTCTCTTAGGGCTTATTGATATCAAGAGACACCTGACCACAGCAACTCTTATAAAGGAAAGCATTTCATCGGGCTGGCTTTTGGTTCAGATGTTTAATCTGTTATCGTCACTGTGGGAAGCATAGTGGCAGGCAGAGATGGTGCTGGAGAGGCAGCTGAGAGTTCTACATCTGGATCCCCAGGCAGCAGGAAGTGACAGTGATACACCACACCGGCCAGGCTTGAGCTTCTGAGACCTCAAAGCCCACCCCCTAGTGACACACCTACTTCAATAAGGCCACACCCCCGATAGTGCCACTACCCATGGACCTATTGGGGTCATTTTTATTCACAATGCCACAGCTGGGTTGGAACTTACAATGTAGACCTAGGCAGGCATTGAACTCACAGAAATCCGCCTGTATCTGCCTCCTGTGTACTGGGATGGAAAGCTTGCACTACCATGTCCAGTATATTCTTTTTTATTAGCTTATTTTATTTTGTGTATGTGGGCATGTATACATCATAGTGTGAATTTAATGGAGATCAGAGGGCAATTGGTGGAAGTCAGTTCTCTTTCTACCATGTGGCTCCTGGGAATTGAAATCCGTCGTTGCTGGGTGGTGATGTGCCCCACCTGCGGGGCTCCACGAGAGCTCACACCCTGATGTGCTCAGTCACCAAAGAACCTAGAACGATAGGGTCAGGGAGAACAAAGAACCAGACAGCAAGACAGGTTTCTGATCAAGCTGCAATTTTTTATTTTTCACATATAGGGGTACCAAATGGGGAGCTTGTCAGGCAGGGAGAGGCCATTTGAGGCCATTTGCCTGATAACCAGACCGAAGAATGTCCCTGTGTGTGAGTCCTTGAAGGAAAGCGGGGAGTGCAGGATGCTTGGCTAGGTCACCTTGAGAGTGCAGGAGGTTACCAAGGTCGCAGGGTGCAGGTGTTAGATAGTGGGTTAGAAAGGGGGGAAGGGTTGCTAGGAAACCTGACCATGAAATGTATCTTTCTTTCTATAAACTACTTCTGTGAGCCCAAATGCTATGTATCAGGAGGGAAGGATTGAAGGCAGCTATTCTTTTAACATAAGGGGTTATTCTTAAAATGCTGGCAGTCTTCTGCCCAAATATCTTACAGGTACAAGGTTACTTTTACCACGACTCCCAACAGTGATGCTCACCCCTTTAATCCCAGTACTCAGAGGCAGAAGCAGGCGGATCTCTGTAAGTTTGAGGACAGCCTGGTCTACAGAGCGAGTTCTAGGACAGCCAGGGCTGGTACACAGAGAAACCCAGCTGTGTGTGTGGGGGGGGGCAGAATCAGTCATCATGCTTGGCTGCAAGTGCCATCTTGTTGACTCCTCCAGAAGGTGACCTGAACCATGGCCTCTGTCAATTCCTGCTCTGACT